CTCGGTCTTTCCACGCTGGACTGAAGGGTTAATGTATAAGATCTCCCCTTTTTACGAGGGGATGATGTGTGGTTCCTAACCAAGGCTTGGGTCGGATCTAGAGGCCGAATGTAAGGGAAACTGAGGAGATCCTCCCCAGCCCCTTGAATGACCGCCTCATGACCTGACATAAGTAATGTAATTTAAAGTTAGTATGCGTGACCAGGAGTACTAAGGGAACTGAACATCAAAAGAAACTATGTTACCAGGGTGGAACAACCCTTACCTCAAGGAATATCTTAGCGGAAAGTGGTACATATCCAAGGAACTGGCCTCTCCTTGGATACGTATATACAAAACAGGCATCTGGAGCTTTGGCCAAGCTCCACCTTTGTTCTAAGGTTGTTCTCCCGTGATTTACATATATATAAAAAGAGCCATTTGGGAAAGGGACTTTTGGAGGTCTTCGTTTCAGAGATGGGGATGCCCACTCTGTTGACTCTTCCAACCGAGACCCTGACGGCTGTGATACAGGACTCCCCCAGCCAGATGTTCAGGAGTTGGTGGTTCCTCGGATTGGTGATGTATTTCTTCTTTATCTATCTTTCTGTTAATAGTCTTTGCTTCTAAGATTGTATCATCATATGTAATCACATTTATGGGCATGTATATTTATGATTATTGCCATTATTAAATCATTTATAAGCTAGGAACAGTGAGAATGTGTCTTTGTGGGTACAGATTTGAACCTGTGAAACAAATTATAAGTGCTGCAGCCCATAACACCTTACTGTTACATGGACCTAAAGAAAAGGACAGCAGAAGCCAGAAGAAAGGATAAAGCTAAAAAAGAAAAAAAAAATCTTACTAGTCCCTATAACACTTGCCTCAATCCTTGCAGCAACAGAGTTGTCATAATAACCAACAAAAATGCCTAAACCTTTTCAAACAATGGCCCACTAATCAACAAAGCAGAGATTTTTTCTGCAGAGAATTTTTGGTCTCACTCAATGAAGGCATCAATTGGCAAGAAGGCCAGGTAAGGACAGCTTGCAAACTGTTATGATGCCAAAGTTATTTTTTATTAAGGTTAGGGTTTTTTTTCCTGACAACTTTTGGGGCTATAAGGAAGTGAACAGTTATTTACCATTTTTTGGTTAAAAAAAAGAAAAGCTAATTTTTTTTCTCTTCTCATTACTGAAGAGCACATTTGAACAAGGGGGCAATGCAGTATGCGGAAAAAAAAAGTGTCATGGGAGTTTTGCCTCTGACTCACTTTGTAACTGAGGATGCTACTTCATCTCTCTAGGCCTTGGTTTCCTCATTTGTAAAATGAGGGAACTGAACTAACAATTTCTAAGGTCTTTATAATTTCCAGTTCTAAAAGTTTTATGACTTTCTTATTTTGAATAATTAATACCGTAATTCTCTTTCTCTCTCTGTCTCTCTCCAACCTTTCCCCCAGTCTGTGTGTATAAACACATATATACACACACAACCATTACCAACAAATAGAATAGAAGCAAAAGAAATATATACAATAACAATTTTTTCAAAGTAGTGAATTTTTCTATTGATTAGAGAAATGCAAATTAAAACAACTCTGAGGTGAGACCTCACACCTATCAGATTGGTTAATATGACAAAAAAGGAAAATGACAAATGTTGGAAAAGATACAGAAAAACTGGAATACTACAATGCATGGTTGGTGGAGTTGTGAACTGATCCAACCATTGTGGAGAGCAATTTGGAACTATACCCAAAGGGCTATAAAACTACAATAGCACTACTAGGTTTGTATACCAAAGAAATCATAAAAAAGAAAAGGACTCACATGTACAAAAATATTTATAGCAGCTCTTTTTGTGGTAGCAAAGAATTGGAAATTGAGGGGATGCCCATCAATTGAGGAATGGCTGAACAAGTTTCAGTATATATGAATGTAATGGAATACTACTGTGCTATAAGAAATGATGAGCAGGCAGATTTCAGAAAAACCTGGTAAAACTTCATGACATGAACTGATGCTAAGCAAAGTGAGCAGAATCAGAAGGACCAGCAGAACCTGTAACAGTGATATTGTGCAAGGATCAATTCTGATAGACTTAGCTCTTCTCAGTAATACAATAATCTGACAGTTCCAAAACATTCATGATGGAAAATGCTATCCACATGCAGAGAAAGAACTATGGAGCCTGAATGTACATTAAAGCACACTATTTTCTCTCTCTCTCTTTTTTCCTCTTTGTCGAATTTTTCCCGTTTGTTCTGACTCTTCTTTCACAACATGACAAACGTAGAAATATGTTTACATGATTGTACATGTATAGCCTATGTCAGACTGCATGCCGTCTTGGGGAGGGGTGAAGGAAGGAAGAGGGGAAAAATGGAACTCAAAATCTTATAAAAGTGAATGTTGAAAACTAAAAATAAATAAAAACAAAAACAAAGATGTAAATTTTCTTCCAACAGAAACATGAGGAAATAGCATAGTTTTGCAAGGCCTTGTTTCTTCCATGACTAAGAAAATGACTATAGGTCAGAGGTCTGAGTCATCATCATAAACAAATGACATTCACTGAAAATTTACTAGGCATAAGATATTATAAAAGCTGTTGGTGATATAAACAGTCACTGCCCTCAAAGAGCTTACAATATAGGTGAAAGAGAGGACTGGAACATAAGCATGTAAAACACCATAAAAGAAGCATATGTTAAATGCCAAACAAAATGCAGCAGGAGTTCAGAAGGAGGAATATTCCTATAAGGCAGGAAGGGAATGGGAAAGGGGTTGGGGAAGGGGACCGGGAAGAAGGTTTCTGAGAGGTGGGGAGACTAGAGGTCATCACTGAAGGGAAGGTATGGATATAAGAAGATGCAGTGAGAGGGTGAGACATTCCAAGTAGAAACGATAGCACAAAGGCTGGGAGGCAGGAATGCCCCAGGTGCATTTGGGGGAACAATGTGCAAAACAGTTGAGCAAGTATGCTCTGGATAAGGAAGAGTTGTCAAAACAGAAAGTCCAGAGGCCTGAGGCCCACAACACTTCCTATTACAGGAGGAAACCAGATTAAAATGTAATTGTATTGTTTATTTTATTATTATTATTATTTATTAATTTTACTATTTATTGCAGGAGAGAGCCAGATAATGGTCATCTTTCATGTCTTTGGTCAGTAAAATAAAGCTTAAAAGAGCTTGGAAAAACAAATTTAATAAAATAAATAAAACAGATAATATTAGCACATGGTTCTCTAAGTCAATATGTAGCTACAGGGATCCTTATGTACTAGTTTAGTGGCTCCCTTTCTCATTGAGTCTGACACCAGTGGCATAGGGCATGGCGAAAGAAAAAGTTGGAGACATCCAAGCTTGTAGATAGAGGGCCTTGCTTACCAGGCCATGGTGGTCTGACTTTATCACCTCTGCAATGGAGAGCCATTAAAGATTTCTGAGCAGGGTGGTGACATGTACAAAGTACTGTTTTGGAAAGATTAACTCATAGGCAATGAATAGAATAAATTTGTAGTGAGGAGATAACTGACAACAGGGAGACCACTAAGGATACACTGCAATGGTCCAAACACTGGGTAATGGGAGCCTGAATTAGGAAGGTGGCTTCTGAAATAAATGGGACAAGATGGACACGAGACATTAGAAAGAAAACCTGGATAGCAGGAATTCTTCACCTGGGGTCCCTATATCCACAAGGCATGGATTGATTTTCGAGGGGGTCTATGAACTTATGGAAAAAAAAGAAATTACATCTTTATTTTTAATAATGGAATGGTTATATATGCACATATGTACATTTAATTATATACACACATATACATATATATGTGTGTGTCAAATAGTAGCCTTCTCTAGTGCAATAACAAAAACAACTTAAATTTCTAAAAAAAAAAAAAAAAAGAAGAATTCTTAGGAGTGGCTGGTCAATCAATATTGATAACCCCGGCAAAGTTTCAATAGTGATAAAAGCAAAAGCAAAGTTCTAGAAGCTATTGATGAGAAAATGAAGGCAAAAGAATACGACAATGGGGGGCGGGGCATAATATAGTAAGGAGCTAGTAGTTGGAGTGGAAGAGGTGACAGCAGGGTCAAGAGGTTTGGTTATTTATTTTTTAAAGACAGGAGAAAGATGAGCATATGGGCTTTGGAGGGGGTTAAGATAACAGAATACTGAGTAGTAGATACGTCTGAGCATGTTTGTTGGACCTGGAGAAGGTGCCAGTGGAGAGACCGATGAATCATGCACGAGAGAGGGAGTCCCCAGCCTCAGGTTTTTCTTCTTCAATCTCTGTCTCACAAATAAACTCTGTTTCAGGGCCCATCCAGCCACAATGCAAGAATATAGAAGTCAAAAGTTTTAAAAACATTTAAGGCAACTTGCTGCCAAGTTACACGTAAGCAGGAAGTGAAGGGCAGGAGTGTTCAAAGTCAAGTGGAGACTGTTCCGATGAGAGGGGCATAGAAGCAGAATCCTGGCACGGGGGGAAGGGGGAAGTGGGGAGGACATGAGCTCTCGGGATGGGCTGGGAAAGGCAGGGGGAGGAATGGAAGGGAGGAGGGAGACTGGGAGATAAAGAGGGAAACGGAAAGTAGAGGAAAATGGAAAGGAGGGGAGAATAGAAGGGATTGGGGAGTGGAAGGGAGGAGGGAATAGGAGGACTAGAAGGAGAATGGAAGAGAGGTGGGGGAATAGAAAGGTAGGAGAAATGGAAAAGAGGAGGGAATGGAAAGGAGGGGGATTGGAAGAAGAGAGGAGTATGGAAGGGAGGTGGGGGGATGGAGGGGAGCAGAGATAAGAGTGAGGGGAGTGGAAGAGAAGGAGGAAAGGAAAGGAGGCGGGGAATGGAGGAGAGAAGGGATGAGGGGAGAAAGGAATGGAGGCGGGGTGGGGGGGATGGAGAGGAAGGGAGTGGAAGGACAAGAGGTATGGACGTTGGGGAGGATTCACGGGGTGGCTGGAAGGTGGACGGGGCCGGCAGTCGGGGTCGCGCCCGGCCGCACTCACCTCTCGCGGCGACACCTGTCCAACAGGTTGAGCTTGCAGAGGTGCAGGGCGTCGCAGCTGCCCCCGCACACCACGCGCCTGCACACTCGCACGCGGGTGGTCGCCAGCACCGTCGGGCCGGCGTCGCCGTCCGGGTCCAGGAGCACGAAGCGATCGGGGCCCGCTTCTCCCAGCACCTCGAGGAGCTGCGCCTCGGGCAGCTCGACGAGGCCGAGCAGCTCGCGGAGCTCCATGCGGCCCCCGTGGCTGCACAGCAGCCCGGTGAGGAAGGCGCACACGGCCGGGTCCGCCATGGTCCGCTCGGGCTCGGCGCGCTTGCAGCGGCCGAGGGAGAAGAGCGAGCGGCTGGGTCGACTGCGAGTCGAGACTGCGGAGCTCTGGGCCGCAGAAACGAAACTTAGAGCGCCAAGGGGGCGGGCCCAGACGCGGGCTCTGACTTTCCGGAAACGCCCCAGCTCGGAGCTGCCTGCGGGAGCTTAGTTTCTAATTGGAAAATTGGTTGGCGGGGAGCCCGCAATCTGTGAATTCTCTAGGGAGGCTCCGAGACGTTACCCGAGATTTTCATTGCCTTCCAAATCAGCTGATGTGCAAGGCGAGAAAGTGAAAGAAAGAGAGAAAGACCATTCCGGGGCTGGGGTCTCTCTAGAATCCCCTCCGACCTCCCTCCTCCATCCCCTATGCCACTGGTGTCAGACTCAAAGAGAAAGGGGGCCACTAAACTAGTACGTAAGGATCCCTGTAGCTGCATATTGACTTAGCAAACCATGTGCTAATATTATCTATGTTTTATTTATTTTATTAGATTTGTGTCTCCAAGCTCTTTTAAGCTTTATTTTACTGACCAAAGACATGAAAGATAACCATTATATTTTAATCTGGTTCTCTCCTGGAAGCTCTGCCTGGCAATCGCTCCCTGCCTCCCTGAAATTCTTACGTCTCTGGAACTCCAGCCACGAGCCCTGGCCCCGCCGCCCCCGGGCTGCTTTTTAGGAGCAGCCTGGGGTGGTTGTGGGTGGCTCTGGGGTCCCCTCCCTCCCCGGGCTCCGGACTCTCCTTCCTCCCTCTTCTTTTGTTTTCCCCATATGTATGTTTGAAAGTTCCTTAAGAGGAAAAGAGTATTTCCATTCCTTGTACCTGGCATAAGTGTGGCACTGTGTCTGGCATATGGCAGGCATTTAGTAAAAAAAAATGTTTATTGATTGATTTCCATTTTTTCCCTCCTATCTTCTACTTCTTAGCGGTAATGCCCTGCCTCCCAGTAGGTGGTTTGTGAGGGTCACATGTATGTATACAACATTATAACTGTAAATAGGAGATAATATTATTTGTTAATCCGATAAATTCTATTGCATGCGCATTTTTCACTTATAGCAAAGTTATTCAACGTTTAAAAGAACTTTTATTGCTATTTTTTAAAATTTTTACATTACTTTGTTTTTTTGTTTTTTTGTTTTTTTTACAAATAAACCCAAGGGCGTGCTGGAGCCAATTCATGCAGGAACACAAGAGCCAACTGTTCATTTTTCAATGTGATCATTTACACCTCAGAATTGTTTTGTTGGCTACCTTGACTTAAGAACGTGATGGAAAAATGTTAATAATGCGATTTAAACTTTAAAATGTATCCTCCATACATTTTTTCCCAGAAAGCCTGTTAAACATTTACCAGTACGTCCGCTACATCCTTTCTCATCCCTCTTAAGGAAGAATATAAGAGGGAAAAAATCATTTCAGCAACGTTAACGAACATATCTACCAAGCATGTCAGTACAAGCAATTTTCCTTAGCTACCTACTTCTGCCAAAATAGGGGGAAGATCCAATTTCTCATCTCTTCACTGAAGCCAAACTTGACCTTTCTAATGACAAATTATCCAATTTCAGGATTTTGTTCTTTCCATTTACATAGTTGTAGTGAACTAAACAAGCATTTATTAAGCACTTACTAGTTTCTAGCTCTGTGTTAAGCCATGGGGACAGAAAAAAAAGCAAAAGACAAAGTTCTTGCCTTATTCTTTTAAAACAATTTTTATTGGTAACTTTTATTTTCCAAAATTACTATCCTACTCAGTGAGTCACTGCTTGTAAAGAGAATAAGAAAAAGAGGGGACAAAGTTTAGAAATCTTAAAAACTATTTCAACTGATTCTGATCCATGCAATATTCCATACCCATATCTTTCCACTTTTGTAAAAAAAAAAAAAAGGAGGAAAATAGCCTTGGCTTATACACTGTTGGTGCCGATTGCGCATATCTCTGGTTAAAAAAAAAAAAAAAGCCTGACGCTGAGTGAGCACCCAGTACTTCTGATTATTCTCTTAGTGAGTATCTTGCTTCTGGCTATGGCCTTCCCAAAATCCTAATTCAGGAAGTCAAAGCCTGTACCATAGCAGACCCTCAACCATCAGCACATAACGGACCACAAACATATTTGAGCATAAATAGAATTGGTCCAACCCAGAATGTATTATGGCCTGGCAAAGAATCCTAATTCTCTATTGTGGCCTACATTCTCAGTGCCCTGATAGAGGATGGAGGCTTACCTTGGAAGGATAGGGTGAAAACAATCAATCAATCAACTCATCAACAAAAATTTTTTAAAAATAAAAACTTGACAAAGGATCAAATGAAATATATGCATGGTGCTTTGCAAGCAAACCTTGGAGTACTACATAAATGCTAGCTATTACTATCAACAAACATTTATGGTTGTTGTTGAGTCATGTCTGACTCTTTGTGACCCCATTTGGGGTTTTCTTGGCAAAGATACTGGAGTGGTTTGCCATTGCCTTCTCCAGCTCATTTTACAAATGAGGAAACTGAGGCAAATGAGGTTAAGTGACTTATCCAGGGAAACACAGCTAGTGAGTTCACTGAGGCTGTAGACTCCAATCTTCCTGTTTCCTTGCTGGGACTCTATCCACTGCACCACCTAGCTATCCTAAGCATTTACTACATGCTAGCTATTATTTTGTTTGTCTCTCTTATTTTTCCAGTACCTCACACCTTTAAATCAACATGTTGCTTCATGTTAGTCATCTTTCTGCCACGTGGATACTGCCTTACTCAAATTTTCTGTTCCAGCAGTACTAATCAGATCAACCCTACCTTTGCTTAAGGAAGTGACAACTGAAGTTACTATATTATGACTCCACTTACCATGCCTGTGACTTCCCAGACCAAGATAGTCTCCCCTAGTCAATACTTTCCCATTTCTGTTATTTCCTTCTATTGGAGGTAAGCTTCCTTTTGGGGAGAAACATCCTTCTTTTGTATTTGTATTTCCAGTGCTTAGCCCGGGGCTCAGCACATAATAAACATGTAATAAATGCTTGTTGATAATAAGTATTAATAAATACCATACTAAGCATTAATATACTAATAAATTAATGTGTTAATAAATAATATAGTTGTCAACAAGCATTTATTACAATATATTATATTTATACATAATACATTCTATAATTCTATATTATATACAATCATATGATATATGATTATATAATACAATATATAACTATAATATAATCATATAAATATGATTGATTCATTAAAATAGCAGAATTTCTTTCTGCTATTTTCTGCATGAAAGTCATGCAATCATTTGATTGTACCTTTAAACTCAAATCACTCTGGCTTTCATTAGATGGCCAATTACAGCCCCCCACCAAGTCTCAGTGGCTCATTGTTTAGATTTTGATGGCTTAGGATAAGCGTAAATGGCAATTGTTTTCTGTTCTGGATTGAAACTCTAAGGATCTTCCCCTCCAAGACTGATATTTTTGTGGTGATAAATTAGGCCATTTTTTTGGTCCCAATTCTTACCTAGCCCTTAGTCATTGAATGGGCATTACCTCAGACAAATTGATACCTGGGAAAGACCTTTATTTATTTTTTTAAAGGCAATTGGGGTTAAGTAACTTGCCCAGGGTCAAGTGTCAAGTGTTTGGTCAGAGGCCGGATTTGAACTCAGGTCCTCCTAATCCTCTATCCACTGCACCACCTAGCTGCCCCAAGACCTTAATTTAGAAAGGCCAAGATCACCCACTGCATCCTGGGACATCAACAATGGTCTTCACTTTGTACTTTGTATTGCTGCGGGACTTTGATGACTCTGGAGGAGAAAGTAAGGCTGACAGCTTTGCCTCACTTAAATCCTGTTAATCTCACTTAAGTCCATCACTCTCTTTATGTCATTGGGCCTCCTGAAGAACAAAGGACGAACAAAAGCAACAACCAGGAAAGTCAGTGAAATGATTGTCTGTCTCTTAAAATTTGCCTACGTAAAGTTTCAGCGTTTTATCTTGTCAGTGTACATTCTATGCCAGTCTATACCTTGTTCTGACATGGTGGAATGGCTGTGGGCCAGCTCTTCTTCTTCCTGATCCAGCTATACCAATGAAGGACTGGACATGATTCTTCTCTCTAGAATGACTTCCTGCACCTCCAGGCTGTGACTTGGTGGAATTGCACTGCTGGAAGGATAGAAGTTTCTCTTTACCTAAGGAGATGAGGCCCAGGGCAGGTGCTCTGCTCCTCTCCTTTCTCCCAGTCAATTTCTTCTCGGGGGTTTGGCTGGAAGTTTTCACCACTAAACTGACAGAGACAGAAATCCTTGATCCCAGACTAGTTTATTGGTTTTATAAAGCCCCACAAGGCAAGACTAAGTCCTTCAACCAGTCAGGAAAAAAAACAAAAACCTTGCTGCATCCAAATGAAATGTCAGTGATTGAATGATTTGGTAGAGTTGTCCAGGCCTTGTTCTGTACCTAGTTCACACTTCGGACTAATTCAGTGGAGATGGGTTCTTATCTGATGGTTTTTTGCCTAAGTGGGGTAGTGCAATTTATGGATTGATTTGATCGATACACCCTCACCCTGACAGTATATTTCAGTGGGAATTCCTTTTGTGTATGAGTGGGAATAAATGGCTGCTGAGGTCTCTTCCAACTCTCAAATTCTGTGATTCTGTGATGAATTGTCCCTACTGTCAAATGATGATTTCAACCTCTTTCTTCTGCTTATGGTTTGTCATTTTAAAATTACCACAAAGGAAAGGCAACATGTAGAGAGCTGGCTTGGGGTCATGGTAACCTGAGTTCAAGGCCAGTCTCTGAGAGAATTATGGAAACTGAGTGATCCACACTGAATGAATTAGAAACAAACCAATTATATTGAAACATAGTGATCAAAATAGTTTTTAAAGATAGGTTCATGGATCCTTGATTAAGAACCCTGAACTTAAGAAGAGTAGAGGCTTATGGCAAGTTTGCTGATCACAAAAATGATTGATGAGGCTTTGCTGATCAA